CTTGTTCGAGGTTGCCTTGCATATGCTTTGCGAGCAGAATGGCTTTCTCCGCCGGATGGTCCTCCGGCGATGACAGCTATGACCCCAGCAATTTGATTGTTCTCCCTCCTCGGACTTTGGGCCCTAGGATTACCCCTCCTAGGACTGCGACTTCGATCCTTTGAGCGTCTTCGCCGAGGTTGAGGGCTGCTTCTGTCTTTTCCCACAAATTTCTTGAGGTATCCTCTGCGTATCAAGTCCTCAATCTCGTTTTTCAGGGTTTCACAGTCCTCGGTATCGTGACCGTGGTCTCTGTGAAAGCGACAATACTTATCCCGACTTCTTTTGTTTGCTGGGGTTCTCATCTTGGTTGGCCACCTGATATAGTCCTTATCTTGAATATACATCAAGATTTCATCCTTCGTAGCACGCAAAGGAGTGTACCTTTCAAACCTCGGGTGGTTGGACCGATCCTTCGATGAGCTGGTCTTGACAGACAACCTATCCCATACTTTTTTCCTCTTTCCGCCATTATCGTCACCAGGGTCCCTTGTCCTCTTTCTGTCAGAGGTCTCACGCTCATCCTCTGCTCTGGACATCTCCTCAGCGTTGATGTACTTTTCAGCCCTACTGAAGAGTTCAGGGAGGGATAGTGGTGGTTTTTTCGCCAAAGAGAAAGCAAACCTTGAAGACTTTCTAACCCCATTCATGAGTGCGGCTAAGGCCACAGACTGGTCCAAGTCCTCAATCTCTAGTGCCTCTCCATTGAAGCGTTGGATAAACTCCCTTAGCGTCTCATTCGACCTCTGACGAACGCCCATAAGATGGGCCGACGCTTTCTTGTACCGTTTGCTGCTAACAAAGTGGTTGAGGAACTCTTGTGCCAATTGTTTGAAAGTATAGATAGAGGCCGCTGGTAGCGAAGAGAACCAAACCCTGGCACTTTTTCTTAGCGTGGCCGAGAACGCTCGACATTTGATGGCGTCGGTCTCCCCATGAAGCATCATGAGAGCTTGGAAATTCTCAAGGTGGTCACGGGGGTCCGATGTTCCATCGTAATTCTCCATCTGAGGCATCTTGAAGCTAGAGGGGATTTCCTCTTTCATGATGCTATCAACAAAAGGGGACTCGGTGGGTGAGAAAATATCCAACGTCGGCTTTCTGACCTCTTTCCACACCACTCCGAGCCTTTCATTCATCTCCTCAAGCTTTTGCTTAAGGTTGCCATCCTCACGTGTGAAATTTCCTCTCTCGAGGTCTCTTTTGGATCTGACCTCGGTTTCATCATTGGGGGCTTTAGAACCTTCGCCATGGCTAGTTTCTCGATTCTTTTGACCTTGGGATGCTTCTTTTTCCATCATACCCTTCATCAAGGTCTTCAGTTCAAGGAGTTCTTCTTCGACCCTCTGCAGTCGTTCGGCCTCTGTCTCCGAGGCCGCCGGACCTTGTGAACTTTGGCCTTGGCTAGGGTTAGCCTCAGAGTTTGATTGGCTTTCTTCGGGTTGATCATGTCGTGAAACGCCTCGCGTCGCTCGACTGGTTTCACCTTTCTTCCGTATCGCCATGAATCCTCTTCCTAAGTCGTCGGTCCCACAGACGGCGCCAATTGATGATACAAGAAATACCTGACGTTAGTCAAAGGACACGTGGCGACGATTGATGCTCCGACGTCCTCCTGAAGTCGTCTCCTTTGCTCCGACGCCTGCAAAACAGAACCCCGGGGTTGTCCCCAGGGGTAGATCCTCCGATGCCTAAGTTAGAGTTGGTTTTAGGGTTTTCAGATGGTGGCTGTAAAAATGCGTAGAGAAGAGAGTGTCCCCCTTACCTTGACCTAGGTCATCCTTTTATAGAGGTAGGATGACCTAGGTCTTCCCTATGCAGACGTAGGATTTCCCAGCCCATTGGCTTAGTGGACTATGGTCCACCAGTTGGGCCATATTTAGACATTGGGCCTAAAGTAAGACTTCTCAGGCACTGGGCCTAAGGTGAGACTCTTCGGGTCCTTAGGCCTATTTTGAGGTTGGACTTCAGCTTTGACCTTGGCCAATAACGGTCTTCAGAGTACACGTGTCTTTATTCTCCCGTAGCCACGTGTCGCCTAATAAATGTGTATTTTTCCCCCATATCACATACATATTATATCTATTGATAAAATATGATGGCCGCCAACAACAATCTTACTAGTTCATCATATTAGTATTTTTTTTTATTTTTATTTTCCCATCATATTAGTATTGCCATGTGCCGTTGTTACAATTATTGACAAATTTAGGATAGAGTCCACAAAAAGACACAATAAATGTAAAACATGTGACTTATTCTATAAATAACCTCTATAAAATCAATGATGCCTAGAGGCCCCAGAACAACAAATCAATTAATTTAAAGGGATTAAAATTTCATGAGAGATAATTTTCTTTCTAGCGTTCAATATTGAAACCATAATTTATTATACAACAAAAGATAGTTAATTTATTGAACCCGTATATGGGATTTAACTCGAACTTGACTGAGTTAATTAATTGGACAAATGTTTCAATGAGAAACTCAAACTTATTGGTTTTTGAGCTCTGAGTTATTCGAATAGTTTTTTATTTAATGAGCCGAGTTTTGCTCGATTAATTCGATTCGATACACATTCAACTCTTATGGTACGTTCTAGCTTAAATTAAAGATCTTGTCAAATAATTTTCGAACATAAATATTACAATAAGTTTTCAGGTTCGACTCTAAACCATTGCCGAAAGTGGATTGAGGGTGCCTTTTTCGGCCAAATAGTCGAGAGGTCGATTAACATGCACTTGTGCGGGTATATTATTATTTATTATAACACAATATATTTATTTATAAGCTTTAAAATAAAAGGCTTTCAAAGTTACACGATTTTTTCGCATCCTCATATTTAGATCATCTTCAATGGTCCATGAATTGCTCTTTTTTATTGCCATGGGGCCTAATAAATTCTATGTGGCATTGAAAATATCTAAAAATCTTTCTAGAAATAGAAGTACTTCTAAACATTTTATCATATAATATACTATTTATTAAATATATCTCATGTCCAACCAATTATAGTATTATTACACATATAAAATTATATTATAGTTGACATTAATCATTGGAGACAAAATTTTGTAACTTTCTTTCTCCTGTTATGTATCTCCAACTCGACAATCTATCATTGGAGATGCTCTTAAATTCCATAACTTGCAAATCAAGTCGGACTTTTAAGTCAATTTTTAAATAATGTCAAACTAGCCGAGCTCAAGCTTAATATATACTATAATCGAAGCTCACAACTCAAGGCTCTGATTGGTTTTAAATTATAGTGACCAAATAATTTTTTAACTCAAAATATAACTACAATATAACTCAACACAATTTTCTCAATATTATCAGTATAATAAATAATACTTATTAATCATCCACACACATCACATTAGTATTAATTCACTATTAATCCACTCACGTAATCTTAACTAAATCACATCTCTCATATTTTTACGTCAAATAGACTTTAGTCATTATATTTTAAATATTATTTTAATATAAACTCAAAATCTCACTAAAACATGACCAAAACTTAATTTTCAAAACTAACTATGATTATCCAACAAATCCAATTAAACACAAAATAACTTATATCCAATCATATAAGCTCCACTCGCTCAAATAAATAAATACACTTATTAATAAATCTCCTACATTTCAGTGTACCAAAA